CCTAACCCTAACCCTAACCACATCAGATAGTTACCAGGGTACGTTCCGGCAGTACCCTGGGGAACACAGACCCTATGAGCACTAGTAGTACTGCTGAGAGGGTCTATGTCCCCCAGGGTACTGCCGGAACGTACCCTGGTACTATCTAATAATAATATGCCGGACCGTACCTCGCCTACTCCACTAACGAGTTTAGGGAGTGGCCTACGCCTACTCCCTAACCCTATTACCATAGGCAGTGGCTACGCGGGTACGGTAGCCGTATCTTAATGTCTCGAGGCAACGGGTACGGGAGTCCATTCGCTTTCATACTTAACGAGACAAAGATGGCGGCGGTGGCGCTAGATTTCGAAAATAACGCCATGGGAAATAAATTCACGATTTGAGAGTATAGGTGAGCTAGAACCCTAACCCTAACCCTAAACCTAACCCTAAACCTAACCCTAATCCTAACCCTAACGCAAAAAAGGGGCTTGAACGACCGACGGCTACCGTACCTCCAGCCACTGCGATTACCATATCAGCTAGATAGCTACCAGGGTACGTTCCGGTATACCGGACTGTACCAAGGGTACGTTCCGGGCCTTCCGGCAGTACCCTGGGGGACATAGACCCTATGACTTATGTGAGCACTAGTAGTAGTAGTACTACTATAGTAGTTAGTACTACTAGTACTACAGACTACGCCTACGGTACACCGTCACCGGTACTGGCACGCAACTCGCTCTGAATGTCAGAATGACGATACGCGTGGTGAATTACGTAATAAACGAGTAAGAAGATAATATCCCGACGTTATACCATTACTAGAGCCAGCCATTCACTGTGGCGATATATCTTTGATACTGCTAGAGTATTATAAGTATATTTGGTCTATTTGTATCAAAAAATCCTCAGACAGGCCGGCGATTACGAGCACATGTTATTATTCGGCAAAGTCGGGCGCCCGAGCAATAGGGACCGGTTACCGGCAGCATCATTGTTGATTCATTAACGTACAGTGACCGGTCAGAATTGTCAGCCGTGATTTTACTTATTAGAACTTTTATTCACAACTAAAATAGGTAACCCAGAAAATGATTTCACAGTCCCAGGGTCGATAGGGTAGATTCCCATCCCTGATATTGTAAACGAAAAAGTATAATGTGTGTAATTACAATATATGTTAGTAGCCCTATAATTTAATTACTACTATGGTAGTAAGTTATACATTCTACAAGGATGAAATCCTCGACAGTAGTACAGACCTTGGGAGTGAAATTCTTAGGCCACATGGTCCGTGATTGTATACCTCCTTTAGAAGATGTCGGCCCACATCACTACAGGTTTTCCACATGCTGAATGGACTCATTCACTTAGTAGCATAACCTGGTGCATGTCAGATATAGACACCTATGATATGAAAAAGAAAATCTTTATTATCTTAGTTGGAGCCCATTACTGAAACCAGTAACCAAATTAAGACCAAAGTAAAACATGTATTAGTCTACTTGTTTCATGACATATATATTAGGGCTGTAACGATCCAACGAAATCGAATCGGATCGCGATTCTCTTCCCTCGATCCGATCCTCGGTATTTTTCCCCGTATTTTCGATTCCACTTCGATACCACTTTTTTCCTCCAATAGATGGCGGCACTACGCTATATACTGTGGAGTGTTACTCACCAATTTTACTCAGCTACTGTGCAGTGTATATATACCATAGAGATGTATAAATAGTATACACCTCTATGATATATACTCGCTAGACTCTCTACTCTATTCACCATTTAGTATTCATTGGCAATTTCTAATAATTTATTATTGCAAAATAATGAAAATATAAGATAACATTTCAATATTTTGGGAATCGAATCGAGAGGCTAATATCGAGAACCGGATCGAATCGAGTCTTGTGTATCGTTACAGCCCTAATATATATATATGTTACACATGGGAATGATATTTAATAGACACACATGGTAAAACACTATAAACTTCTAACTCAGCTAAAATTTTATTACCACTACTCAATGGGCAAAGAAATCTTTGCGCGTCAACTATACAAGTGTCCGACTTTTCCAGCTACTCAGTCTGAAAATTTGCTTCTTTACTACAGGTGTTAATGATGGCCAATGACCTCAATTATTTCCATGTAAATTTCATCATTACATTCATTGCGTTGGACTTGAGACAATTAATTGTTGCCATAATCACGTTAATTTATTATTCATTTATAGTTAATTTGTCACGATAGCGTAACTGCAACCTGTGTATTTTGTAAGATATCAGAGAATCAATTATGACACCGAACTGCTGAGTAGTTTTATCTGACCAAACCCTACTCAAATCTACCAAAAATAGAAATGAAGAATTGTCGGTGTGGACAGTGTCTGAGAAAACTCAACTCGGACCAAGGAGCTGCTACATCATTACATGTATACCTAGCTGCTGCTCATAGGGGGCCATCCTTACAAAATCCTATGTTTGCTGTCCCCCGACCCATGATTTTTTTAGTGGGTAGGTAGGTAGGTCTTTTCTGCGGTCGCTGTGTGAAGGGCGTATAATAGTTATGTTAATGTCATTTTGTTCCTCATGTTCCTCGGCCAAGGCAACTCGCTCTCGCGTTTGTGTTTCTCGCAGGTCTACTCTGTATTGTAAGAACAAACAGAGAACTTGGCGAACCCCCAAATCGTCAAAACAAATATTTCGGGTGCGGGCGGCCACCCCGGTGTCGGCGTATCTGGACGCGCACGAGGCAAACGCATATAAATTTTTAGGTATGGCCGGGTCATATGGTCCCCTCAGGGTACTGCTGGTAACGTTCTCACCTTGGATAAAAACTTTCTGATATGGTTGGTTTAGGGTTAGGTTAGCGGAGTAGGCGTACGGCGTCTCCCTAGACTCTGTTAGTGGAGTAGGCAAGTCAATGCGTTGGTCGGTATTATTAGATAGTACCAGGGTACGTCAGGTATACCGGTGACCACGTACCCAGGGTACCTTCCTGGCAGAAGGTACCATCGGGGGACTATGACGACCCTTTCTCCGCAGCGTAGCTGCGTGTTGAGCTCGGACTAGGATCTCTGTGTTCGCGCAGTCAGGGTACTGTCGTTTGCTGTCTGCGCACGCCAGGGCTAGTTACATTAGAAGCTTTAGGCTTACTGGGGGAGTACTTAGGGTCCTGAGTAGTGCTCAGCTCCTCTCGCTCGCTTAGTAGGGTGTGCCCAGTATCTATCTACTAAGTACTCTGCTGAGACTGAGAGCGGTCTATGTCCCCAGACGTTTTTTCACAAAATGCGCTACTCTTGTGCTCTCTCCTCCG